GCCGCAACCAGGAAATTGGGAGCAGGAAAACCGTCCTGGGTCAGGGTGAAGTCCCCCCTCCTCCCCGCTCTGCGGCCCCGGGCGCCCTTCTTAAAATGGGAGGAGGAGAATGGAGCCCCCCAACCCCCCCCCCTGCCGGTCGGACTCTCCGCACTTCCTCCTCCCGCCCGGCCTCAGGGGCTCTGCGGCTGCAGGTTCCCCGCCTGGAGCAGACCGAGCTCGGGGCATCAAAAGGAGAAGGACCTTGCCCAAGCTGCTGGTCGCTTGAGTTTAGGGCCAAGGGTGTCGGCAGCAGGTGGAGCAAAAGCCTTTCCCCGCAGAGAAGCCGCAACCAGGAAATTGGGAGCAGGAAAACCGTCCTGGGTCAGGGTGAAGTCCCCCCTCCTCCCATCCCCCCTTTTGACTTTCTAGTCCCCCCCCCCAAAAGCAGCTGTGTCTGTTTAAAGAAACAGGTCAAAGCATCATGTATAGCTTGACCCCTAGTAATGGGCCAGTCACCCTTTGGGGCGTCGCAGTGACCGCTTGCAGCTCACCAGTTTGGCGAAAGCTGCAGTCACGCAACGCGCTAAGCTTAATTAATATCGTCCTGGGTTGGATTCTTTTGTGGCACAGGGAGTTGTTTCAACCCTGCCCGCTGGTTAACTGGCGGTTCAGTGAATTGTGCCCCTTCTGAAGACAGGCTGTCTTAATCCCCAGGTTCTGTGTGTTGTATGGGGACAGGCAATCTTTCACTAATCTTTGTAACGTGCTGCAGGTCAGGCTACTGGCTTCTTCCCATTTGACAGACCAGAGAAGGCTAAACGTTAGCAGGAGAGGCTGGATCAGGCAATCCTCCCCAACGTCACAGAAGCAGATCCAAGCCTGCAGGAGAGGGGCCCCCAGGAAGTTGTAGCTACGGGTCTCAAGCACAGTCATGGGGAGGGCGCTCCCTGGAGTCGATCTTGTTGCCAGTGATGTTTGGCCCTTCAGGGAGAACTTCTGGGGGAACCTTCAGCTGTGCAGATTAGCAGCAATGATCTGACCCCCCCCCACCCCGCCAATATAAACTGCTAGCTACAGATAGGCAAGTGACAGAAACACCCCCAAGTTTTGCTCCAGTGGGAAAATATGAACGGAGGAGAAAGACCGGTGATAAACCTTGTTGACAACTCAGAGAGGAGCACCCAGATGCTGGCTTTTCTCAGAAGGCCCAGAAGTTACATCAGACAGGGGGAGAGAAGGCGATGCCTGTGGCCGTCAGCCGGAGGACAGACACCTCCACTTCTCCCCCGGGGTGCCAAAGACAGAGGAAGAAGGGAAGGGACCTGCAAAGAAGCTCCCAGCTGTTGACCTGAACCCACTGCCTGCTCCGAGAAGAGAAGCAGGGATTCGAATTTAACATTAACCAGGCGCCTTGCCCACGGAGGCTGAGTCGCTTACCCTTTGCTCCCCGGCATGGAGAGGCACAGGAAGACCAAGCTGCCCACGAGGCACCACCCGGTCCCCATGGCGCAGGGGAGCATTGGAGGCAGCTGCTGCTGCTGCTGTTCTGCTTCCCTCGCTGCTGCCGCTCGGCGTAGCCTTAATCCATCGCGGCTGCAGACCAGGAGTGGAGTGAGGACCGGCCCGGGTGACACAGACCCCAGCAGAGTGACAGGAGGGCGGAGTCCAAGCAGCCATAAAGGTTTCTCCCGCCAGGTGTAAACACGAGTGAAACAAAGGTGAAGGCGGCAACCCCTGGCCACGTGGGTGCCTGGAAGAGCCCAGATCCACAGTTGGGTCGTGCCCTTCTCACGGCCGGCTAAACGAGGCAGGAGAGCCTGCAAGATTTCGGGCAGGAGGAGGAGGCGGGCTGAGGCACGCCAGAGGGAGGCCAGACGTGTCAGCCCAGAGGCTGCCCTGCCAGGACGGGTCGCTCATTCCTCTGGCAAAGGTGGAGGAAACTCGCAGCAGGGTGTCAGGGGGACCCGACGGGGGTTTCCTTCATGGGGACGCACAGCCGCCCAGCTCTCCAGCAGGGCTCTTCGGACAGTGGGGCAGCAGAGCCCTCATGGCCCCGGACCCACTGGCTGGGCTTTGGGTCCTTTCTTCCGCGGCTCCCTGTTTCCAGCTTTTCAGGGGCAAGGGTCCCCCATCAGCCACGTCCCTGGGATGCAGCCTCGGATTTTCCGTTCGTACCCCGTCCGGCTTTGGCCTGGATTTCCTTTCCAGCGGGGAAGCTGTCTGGCTGACGCTCCTGTGCCCTGACCCTTCTTTCCAAGTGATCGTGGCTGGGGAAGGCTGGAGGGAGAGGAACCCCTGCCTCCCCCAAGGCTACGCTGGGGCTACCTTCACATCACACAAAAACAGCCAGGCTGTCTGCTGATGCCAAGTCTTTCTCTGACCTGGTTAGGCGTGGGGGGGCATCCAGCCAGGCAGTCTCCTCCCGAGCCGAGGCCTTTCCGGCCAGTTCCGGCTTGCAAGGCCAGCATCCCAGCCAGCCCTCGCCGGCCAAGCTGCCACCGGCTCTCCTGGAACCGAGCCGCTCCCAGGACCGTGCGTGTGCATTTACTTTATGCGTGTTTCGGTCCTGTGACTGGCTCTCACAAAAATGCTGCTTCTGCTCCACACAGCCCCTGCAGCCTTGGGGGGGGGGAGCAGGTGTCTTCCTTCCCCCGCTATGCTCCTGTTCCAGCTCCCCCCAACCCCCAGCCAAGTCTATGCCGCGCTTCTTCCCACTCAGAGCCATTGGCAGAATTTGGTGAGGGAACATTTGGACTGAAAAATAAAGTGCAGAAGGAAAGGCCAGTTCTGCCTCCCTCACAAAAGGTGGCTTGAAAGTAAGACCGAAGTGTCCAAGGTGGGAGAGACCCTTTCTGCCTGGCAGTAGCATGTGTGGAAAGGATCCGGGTGTCACGTCAACCCAAACTTAAACATGAGCCACCAGTGTGATACGGCTGCTAAAGAGGCCAGTGCAATCTTGAGGTGCACTAACAGAAGCACAGAGTCCAGTTCCTGGGAAGTCACTGTCCTCCTGGGCTCTGTCCTGGTCAGTGGCATCCTGTGCCCAGTACTGGGCAACAGAGTTGGAGAAGGACGGTGACAAATCGGAGAAGAGGGTGACCAAGCCGGGGAGAGGGCCGGAAGCTGAGCCCTTCAAGGAGCAGATAAAGGGTCTGGAAAGTTAGGCCAGTGAAGAGACGGCCGAGGGGAGATTCTCCGTTGCTCTAGAGGGCAGGACCAAACCTAACGGGTCAAAGGTCCTGGGAAGGAGGGTCAGACTGGTGCCGCCACGCGAAGTAGTGGGTGCCGGAGTTCTTCAGATGGAGGCCAGATGGCGACCTGCCCAAGGCGGGTCCTGCACCAAGCAGGGGCTGGGCTGGATGACCTCTGAGGTCCCCCCAAACGCTGGTTCTGTGATTTCATGACCTTTCCGCCTCTGTTTGTGTGAAGGAGGAGGCAGTGGCGGCAGTAGGCCACAAACCGCCCTGGGCTGACCCTGAACTTGCAGGAATCCCTTTGCCACATAAGCCATTCGGTGGCTTGTTTTTCTGATATTTTATGGCAGGAGCAAAAGGCAATGACCCCGTATTTCTCAGGTCAGGATCTCGGAGCATAAACCAGGCTTTGCACCTGGCTTTGCTGGCGAAGGCAGGGCCCCGGGTCCTCCCTGCGCTAGAGGAAGCCAGGAGGCAAAGAGGGAATTCGCAGACGGACAGACCGGACATCCAGCCAGCCCCCTTCGCCCCGAGGATAGGCGGCCCTTTCTCTCCCCTCCCACCTCAATGCTGCCAGGGCAGTGGTATTTTGTGGCTCCATTTTGTGAAGCTGGAGAAGGGGTCACTTCCGAAAGAGCTGTGATGCCTCCCTTGGGTCCCCCACCTTCTCATTCTCCAGACTGCTTTCCAAGGGTTTGGGGCAGGAGAGCAGGGCTGGGTTCGAATCCTTCCGCAGACGTACAGCCCATCAGGGTCCGTCCTCAAGTCTTCTGATGCCATGGAGACAGGCTCTGGGCCGCTTCCCAACACTGGGATGGATCCATCGTTTCTGGCAGCCACGGCGCCCCCGCCCGCAGAAAGCTGGCCAACTGGGGTCTGAGGCGAGGATGAGGCTGATTCACGTGGCCAGGCTGCTCCTGCAGCGGCGGAGACCTCAATGCAGATTTCAGAAACTTCAAAATGTCGCCCTCTGGGGATAATACAAATTGTGCAACTGCCTGGCTGGCATTTGGGTGGCATTTGTGCAAACTGGCAAAACCCCAAGAGGAAATTGGAAAGGTGGGCGGTGACAAATTTGATAAATACATACATACATACATACATACATAGGACTCCAACAGGTTGAGGCTTTGCCTGCAATGCTGGTAGCTCTGAGGGTCTTGGGCCTTCCAAATGCGAAGACTTCCCCATTTGGGGGCAATCCTTTACAGCAACCACCTTGCAAAGCGTTAAGATCTTATTTATCCCCTTAAACCTATCACAATTAAGAGATCAGGCACCCAAGATAGCAGAAATGCTTCGACTTCCAGCAGGATTTATGTCTCTCGCCAGCCTGGCTGCGTAACCTGACACTTGCCGTCAGCATTACCGTGGCCAGGGTTGTGGCAGGAATGCGTGGCTGGCAGTGCCGTTGCTGGATCGGCACTCGGCGTCCCCAGATCCTCCCAGGCTGGCCGGTCCAGGTCGGCTCGGACTCAGCTGGCGTGAATGGCTTGGAGGGAGGGGGTCTCCCCGGGGCCAAAAGGGGGAACGGTGAGGGACCTATGGAATAAGGGAGCAAGGGACCCCAGTTTCAGCTGGCCCCAGCCACTTATGGGGAAAGTGAGTTGAGAAGGGCAGGGAGGCCATGGCAGGGGAGGATGGGAAGGGATGTTCCGGGCGGGATGAGATCGAGGCGACAGGAAGAAGGGCAAGGGGTGGGCTGGGGGCCTTGAGGAATGTGCTGCGTGTGGTCAGGACTGTCAGAAGCCCGAGTGAATGGGCTGACTTGCGATCAGCAGCATCTGGTCACTACACGACACTGATACAGCGCACGATTTCTTTTCCTTTGTCCTCTCTCTGGAGCACCGTTTTCTTTGGACCAAGAAAATAAACGTTGCCGTTCCCATTTTGGTCGGGCTCTTTGCCTCTCAGGGTCAAACAGGCCCAGCAGACCGATCCGGGCTAGAAGGAGGGGGCCTGGCTGTGTCCCAACGGCCTGATTCCCTGAACTTGTCCTGCACTGAGGCTGCCCAGGTGGCGCCCTTGCCGGCCTCGATCCTGAGGCAGAACAGCCTGGGCAGTCGGGCAGCACCCCTGGTGCCAGCGTAGTTTTCTGCTGGTTCTCAGGCCAGAGGAGAGCAGCTGGATCGGCCACCTGGCCCTGCCTGTGGAGCGAGGAAAGGCTCCTCGCCCACCCCAAATTGACTGGGAGTCCTAACATGGTTTCATGCAGGTTAAGCTGGGTTCCTGATTAACAGGACAGTCCAGCTGCATTCACACAACCCATTTTAGCAGGCTGTTTAAGATGAGAGATGATGAGAACACACAGAGTGTGAGAAGCTGGGCCAGGTTCAACCTTGGTTTCTTCTGGGCTGTGTTTGGGGGGTGGGGAGGATTTAAGGGTTGTGCAAACACAGTCCATGGATTGGTTTCTGGTTCAGGTATTGTGCAACCCAGAAAGCCGATAACGCTGTGACGCCTTTATCAGCTCCCCAATCTAAGAACAAGTCACACCCGGCAATAGTTTAGTAAGGCCATGCTGACTTTCCTGCCACTTTCCCAGTCTCTCCCTCCCTGCCATCTCTGTAAATGCAAATAATATTCCAGGAAGCTCTGCTTGCCCCCGGACTCCCACACAGGGTATGACCCACCAGGGCTGCTGCGGCCCTCCACGGCCGCGCCCTTCCGCATCCCAAAGGCGCTGAGGTTGCTGGCGCTTTCCTGGCCAGCTGGCGGATGACCCTTCCCTCGCGTGAGGCTGAGCCCCCAGGCCAGCCACCTCATCCGCCCCCAGCCCCCAAGAGCAGCATCGGTCCGGGGGGGGGGAGGATGCTTCTGCAGTTGCATCCCAGGACGGGACGTGGGAAAAGGAAAGGGTTGCAGCCGCGGTGTGCACCCGCGGCCTTCTGGGGCAAGCCATGTGGATAGAGGGCTTCTTCGGCTCCCAGCGTTGGGATTTGCAAGCTATTCACCCCAGTTTCATCGCTTCACACCCGTGGCCAGAGAGACTTGGCTAGGGAAAGCCCCACTCCCTTCTTTCCCCCTTGCAAAGCCCCCCCCCGGGGCTGCCGGGGAAGGGCATTTTAGGTTGTGCGGGGGGGGGGGGCGGAGGATTCTCTCCGGTTGGG